CATATCTTTGAGAACAAGGTCTGCTCTGCTCCCTCTGGAGTTAGGCACCAGGGTCTCTTACTGGGAATGCAGGCTGCCCTCTTAAAGACTACTTCTAAGCTGGAGAGAAGGGAGAGACAAGGGCAAGTCCGCAAAGATGGACTAGGAAGAAAGGCCTGGCAATCTACTGAAAATCAGCCAATGAAAACCCTATCGATCACAATAGTTTGGGATGGTGCCCGACTGGGCAGCTGTGCATGGGATCACCACAAGCCAGGGGCCAACTTGGTGGTGGTTAACAACAACAAATTGAGATAACACGTATAATATGTATTATATACGCATTTCAGAAGAAAGAGCTTCTGAGAAACTGAAATAAGCTTATACCAGGGAATGACAAACTTCCCATAAAAGGGCCAGACAGTGTTTTAGACTTTCCGGGACAAATAGGTCTCTGTCACATATTCTTCTTTGCTTTCTTCTTCCAACTTTTAAAAAATGTTAAATCTCAGCTATCAGGCTGTACAAAAATAGTACAAAGGTTGGATTTGGCTGGAAGGCCATAGTTTCATGATCCCTGGCTTAGAAATTTATAATGACATCTATGTTGAAAATAAGCTGGATTATATGAAGAAAAATGCAGCATCAGGATTGGAGGAAGACTCATTAACAACGTGTGATATGCAGATGACACAACCTTGCTTGCTGAAAGCAAAAAGGACTTGAAGATCAAAGACTGCAACCTTCAGTATGGATTACACTTCAACATAAAGAAAACAAAAATCCTCACAACTGAATAAGCAACATCATGATAAACGGGGAAAGGACTGAAGTTGTCAAGGATTTCATTGTACTTGGATCCACAATCAACACCCATGGTAGCAGCAGTCAAGAAATCAAACGACGTTATTTCATTAGGCAAATCTGCTGTAAAAGACCTCTTTCAAGTATTAAAAAGCAAAGATGTCACCTTGAGGACTAAGGTGCGCCTGACCCGAGCCATGGTGTTTTCAATCACCTCATATGCATGCAAAAGCTGGACAATGAATAAGGAAGACCAGAGAAGAATTGACACCTTTGAATTATGATGTTAGCGAGGAATATTGAATATACCATCGACTGCCAGAATGAACAAATCTGTCTTGGAAGAAGTACAGCCAGAATGCTCCTTAGAAGCGAGGATGGGGAGACTTTGTCTCACGTACTTTGCACATGTCATCAGAAGGGACCAGTCCCTGAAGAAGGACACCCATGCCTGGTGAAGTAGAGGGTCAGCAAAAAAGAGGAAGGCCGTCTATGAGATGGACAGACACAGTGGCTGCAACAATGGGCTAAAACATAGCAACGACTGTAGGATGGCACAGGATCAGGCAGTGTTTTGCCCTGTTGTACGCAGGGTCCCTATGAGTCGGAACTGACTAGACAGCTCCTAACAACAACAACAACATGTAGAAAATAAGGAGCCCTGGTGGCACAGTGGTTTAGCGCTCAGCTACTAACCAAAAGGTCAGCAGTTTGAACACAGCAGCCGCTTCACAGGAGAAAGATGTAGCAATCTGCTTCCATAAAGATTCAGCCTTGGAAACCTTATGGGGCAGTTTTACTCTGTCCTATAGAGTTGCTATGAGTTGGAATCCACGGGAATGAGGTTATGTTGAAAATAATAATAGCTAATACTGTACAACACCTTCCATATGCCAGGTATATAGCTTTAAACTTCATAACAGAACTAAGAGATATCATTATCCACATTGAACACACAAGAAAATTGAGGCACAGATATTAAGCATCTATCTTGTCTATACACCTCCTCATTTATCAACTATTTCATTGTCTGACATTTTGCATTTACCACAATAGTAAAAAATCTACTATTTGTTCTATAAATTAATGACATATATCTGGCAGTAAAGAACACTGAGGTGCAAGACAAGCATTAACACTGGCTTTGATGGTTTAGATTATGTGTCAACTTGGCTGAGCCAGCGCTTTGGCAGTTATGTAATGATGTAATTTGGCACTTAGGTAATGACATAGTCATCCTCCATTTTGTGATCTGATATGGTCATCCTCCAATTTCACATAACAACCTGGTCTTTGGAACTTAACCATGTCAATAAGTGAGGAGAGGGTGTAGTTACCCAACTAGCAAATGGCTGAACTAAACAAGGAAATCTGATTCCAGAGTCTGCTTTTAACCCTTGCAATACAGTGCTTAGAAGCTAATATTCTGGTTTGGCCCCTAAATGTCTTAGTCCTCTCAAGAAGCAATGGAGGGATGTGGTCCTTGATGGTCTAAGAACTTTGCCAGTCTCTCTGAAACATGTAAGAGAAGGCTGAGAGGTAAACAGTAGATGAAGCAAAGCATCAGCTGTGCCCACAAGCCAGGAGAGCTCTCCCACCTACACTTCACAAGAAACATTCCTTAACATTAGCTGGACTACCGTATCTTTATGCAAGTAACACGCGCATTATACATTTTTTGCCAACCGCGCAATGCCCCCTGGCTATTTTCATAAGTGAGCTACGCTGCGCGTTATACGTGTGGGCACATTATTTGCAAAAAATACGGTATTACCTGCAAGGACTCGTTATCTGCAGGATTCTTACCTGAACATGCCCATCTTTGGATTTTTCTACCAGACACTTCTTTATGCTCCAACTGGGACATGTTATTTTATTTGCTTTGAAGGGTCCATGTCCTGAGAATGGGAAAAGATATAATGTTGGGAGACTATGTCATTCAAAAATCACCTTGTACTCTCCCTGCTCCAGCATTAGTTGTCCAATACTCCATTCTCTCCTCCCTTTAGCAACAGAACACCCCAAGTTCTAGCTGGGTACATGTCCATATTACCCAGCAAATATACGGATGATATTGGGAGTCAAATTCCTGATTCTTGGAGAATGAAGAAATATGGAATGAGGAAATACTAGCAAGAACACTATGATGTTAAGAATTGGAAGTATGAACTCTCCTTCCTGCCTACCTACCAACCTACCTACCTGTCTCCATCTGCCCAGTAGTAAAAAGGAGCACATCTACTACCCAGACCTTGATTTCGAATTACCATTCCCCACTATGAGGAACCAGGGCTCCTAAAGAAATAGCAAATTCCATGACTGGGGAAGGGAGAAGACAAGATGAGCCTGGAACATGCTATTGTGCTAGAGAGTAAGGATGTACCCAAGCTTGTGAAAATAAATGATAGGCAAACAGGACCGAAGAGAAAGCTCTTCCATAGAGTACAACAACTATCTAACAAATGTTGAAGGAATGATGGAGATAGAAAATTATCCTTTTGCACCCATCAGAGTAATAATCAGTTTAAGCTAGTCGTAGCAATGAATGCTAGAACTAGTGGGTAAGTTTGTTGAGAAAGAAGCTATTTACAGAGCCAGAAAATATCTCCCCACAAATTACTGACTATAAAGGAAAAAACAGTAACTTAATTGTGGAAAAACTCAGCACAAATCCACTTTAATCAAGAGATGCAAGTTAACCCCACCTACAATGGGATAAACACATCATGTTCCCTTATGTCATTTACCAAGGACACCATTTATGGAGTACTCCTGCCAAAAACACGTGTAATTTAAATCCCATCAGGAGTAAACATCAGACTACTCCAAATAAAGAGACATTCTATAAAATAACTTCAAAAATATCAAGGTGATTAAAAACGAGGAACGAAGTGATGATCCAGATTAAAGAAGTCTAAATGCAATGTGTAACTCTTGATTGGATCTGGACTTGGGGGGAGGGGGGAACTGTAAAAAATATATCATTGGTAAAATTGATAAAATTTGAATAAAGTGTTATGTACAAATACTATATTTTCTAGAATTTTTTGCTTGCACTGTAGCTGTGTAAGTGAACATCCTTGTTCTTAGAACATACACACTTACGTATAAGAAGCAAGATGTCAGAACATACTCCTAAAAGGTTAAAAATATGTATGCGTATACATAGGTATCAATGTGTATGTGTGTGTATTAACTCACATTCGTATATATGGAGAGAATGGTAAAGTAAACTTGATAATACGGTGTATCTAGGTACAGGGTATATGGGAGATTTTATATAATTTTTACAATTTTTCTGAAAGCTTTCAATTATTTCAAAATAAGTTTAAAGAAATGTAAATATATATATATAGCAAAATTAGTGAAAACTAATAGTGATAACAAGAAGTAAATACCAATTTCTAGGTATTCTATACCTTTATTTTTGGAGGGAATCACACAAAACCCCCATGTTTTGTGTTTAGCCAGGCTAATATGTTCTACACATCTTACAACATCCTTAACTACAAATTTAGCTTCTCTCATTTGATGTTTGCAGTGTTCCGTTGGACCAATAAATCATAAAATACCTTGGCAATCCAACTGATGGTTTCTGTGCTTGCTCTTATAAACAATGATTCAATGAACACCCTTTTATGTACATCTGTGGCAGATATAAATTTACTTTTGAAGATCAAAGATTCATTTCTGGGGATCTACTCCTTAATTGTAACCCTGACCCTGTATACCATATAAGACGAAGCAATCATATTATGAATCCTTAACTATAGGAAATTTTCAGTCAGAAATTTTATTTATTTTTCATAGTTTTACAGCTTTAGCAAAAATAATGGTCACTATAAGTATAAAAATGTAAGTTAAAGAAAAGGAAAAATAATCCAAAACCCTCCCTGATAACCCCCCCAAAAACTAGTTAGCACACTGGCAAAGATCTTTACACATATATTCACATTAACAGATAATAATTTATATTAATTGGGTCCTACCAAGAGGGCTACAACCTAGTTCTCTCCTAAATATGAGTTTGATTCCTGTTATTATGGTTCTGTCATCATTTTAATGAATTTGTTATAAAGATTCTGAGTGTGAAGAAATCCCCTTTCACTCTCAATACTTTTACAGGACTTAACCACCAGCCTGGGCTCTCCAAAAACTAGAAAATGTGAATTCTGACCAAAGCCAACACCACACTTCACATTTCTAAAGATTCTTGCCAGTGTGGACTTTCTCATGGTATATAAGACGTGAACGGTGAGTGAAGTCCTTACCACATACATCACATTTGTATGGTTTTTCTCCAGTGTGGACTTTCTGATGGGCTTGAAGACATGAGTTCTGACTGAAGCCCTTACCACATTCTTCACATCTAAATAGTTTCTCTCTAGTATGAACACTCAGATGGACTCGAAGATTTGAGGGGAGACTGAAAGCCTTCCCACACTCCTCACACTTATGAGGTTTCTCTCCTGTGTGGACCCTCTGATGATGACGAAGATTCAAGCTCCTACCAAAGCCTTTCCCACACTCCTCACATTTATATGGTTTTTCTCCGGTGTGGCCTCTCTGATGGTATATAAATTGTGAACTGTATCTAAAGCCCTTTCCACAGACGTCACATTTATATGGCTTCTCTCCAGTGTGGACTCTCTGATGAGACTGGAGACCTGAGGACTGACTGAAGCTTTTACCACATACACCACACTTGTAAGGTTTCTCTCCAGTATGAACTCTCTGATGCACCCGAAAATCTATGGCCTGACTAAAGGTCTTATCACACTCCTCACATTTATATGGTTTTTCTCCAGTGTGAATTACTTGATGCAGTTTAAGATTTGAACTATAACTGAAGTCCTTAGCACATACATCACACTTGTACGGTTTCTCTCCAGTGTGGACTCTCTGATGGGTTTGAAGTTTTGAGGACTGACTGAAGCCCTTACCACACGTATCACATTTGAATCGTTTCTCCCCAGTGTGGACGTTCTGATGAGCTTGAAGATTTGAAGCCTGACTGAAGCCCTTACCACACTCCTTACATTTATAGGGTTTCTCCCCCGTGTGAACTCTGTAATGAATGTGAAGATCTGTGTTACAGGTAAAGCCTTTCCCACATGCCTCACATTTGTATGGCTTCTCTCCAGTGTGGACTCTTCGATGGCATATTAATGGTGAATTGTGACTGAAGCCCTTACCACAGACATCACATTTGTAGGGCTTCTCCCCAGTATGGCCCCTCTGATGTATATGAAAATGCGCAGCCTGCGTGAAGCCCTTACCACACTCCTCACATTTATAGGGTTTCTCACCCCTGTGGACCCTCTGATGAACACGAAGATTAACGCTCCAACCGAAGCCCTTACCACATTCTTCACATTTGTATGGTTTCTCTTCAGTGTGGACCCTCTGATGGCACTGAAAATTCGAACTTTGACTGAAACATTTGCCACACTCCTCATATTTATAAGGTTTCTCTCCAGTGTGAGTTCTGTAATGAATGGTAAGACCTGTGCTGCTACTGAATCCCCGGCCACAACTGTCACATCTATAGGCTTTCTCTCCTGTATGATTAGACCGCGGAGCAGGAAGAGAGCTCTTATTGAAGGAATCACCAGATTTGTAACACTTGCTGACCTTCTCTCCTGGGTGCATTCTCTGATGAGTTTGCAGATGTGGGCTCTGACTGAAACATTTCTCTCCTGTGTGAACACCTGGATGAATAGGAAGAACCGAGCTATAACTGAAGCCTTTTCCACACTCACTACATATATGAGGCTTTTCTCCTAAGGGTAAATGCTGACTGGAGTCATCACTAAAAATTTTACCACATTCACCACGTTTGTAGGGTTGTAATTCTGTGCCCGTTTTAATATACTCATTAAGTGATGATTTCTTCATGAAGTCTTCATGTATTCGCAGGCTACTTTTCATGCTAAATTCTTTACTTCTATTCTGATTCTGTGACTCACTCCGATATGGTTTCCTCCAAGAATCCTGGGCTCTTGAAGTCAAAACCTCTTGATTTTCAGTACAACTGGAGCTATCTCCTTTATGCTTCATTACACAGTTCTCGTTTTCAGAAACTTGAATAGAATCACCTTGTAATAACTGGGAACTCATCCCTTGAAGATTTATCATGGAATCCTGATGCTTGGTCAATTCACTTGCAACTTGTTCCCAGATATGCCAGCAGGATAGCTCTTCAAGGAGAAAGTATTTTAATGCAACTTTTCGAAGAGTCTCCATCTCATTCTGATTCTTGCTACCTATAAAAATGAGCAATATTCAGAGAGGAGGACAAGCAAATGCTTTGTTCAGAAATACCAGGATTTCACACTTAGGCCACAGGACAAGACTTTAAGAAACCAGGGGAAGGTTCATTTTGTCTTCACCGTCATTTATCCTGTTCTCGTGTTTTTCATACAGATGAAGTGAAAAGGGAGGCCAACAGGCTTCTATCCACTAAGTGTAAATGATACCCATTTAGAACCACAAATAAAACAGCCTAACATGAGGGCTACAAGTCTGAAATCAGACGGCTACAAGGGGACATTCCAACCTACAATCGCATCAGTTAAAAAGCCTATTCGCTTTTTTCCTCAGTAGGCTTATGACAAGTGGGATTCTACCAAATTAGGTTAGAAAAGCTCAGCCTGAAGACATAAAATAGTATTTCAGGTCCTAGCAGAAATGATCTTCCAAGGGTGAATTTGCCAAAAGGGTTGGAATAATAACACATATTGTTCTAAAACCTGGTAGTAATTCAGGTCTCTGTAATGTCCAGATACAAAAAATTGAAAAGGAAAGCTAATTTGGTACAGTCAAGAAAAAACTTGGGAGAAGAAAAGAAATAGAGCATAGAGCAGACTCTCAAAGCCAACCCTGAAGAGGAAGGGAAGGAGTTAAACAGTAAAACCTGCGAAAGCCGGAACCTGTGTAAGGAGGAAACCTGTCAGAGAAGGAAAATTCAAATATTTTCCACTAAAACGAGCGATAGAAAAGTGGTAAGACTGTGCCCTGTCAAAGGTGGAAACTTGCGAGACTCGGAAAAACAAGGCAGTCTCACCACGTTATGGCTCTCACAGGTTTTACTGTATTCAGTTTGAAAAGGTTTCACCCCAGATCACCACAAGCCTTGCTTATTCCCTCACTTTCTACAGGCCTCTGCTCAAATGTCCCTTTATATTAGGTGAGGTCTTCAGTATCACCCTATATAAAATCATCTTTCCTCATCTCCACATACCTTTGATTCCTTCCATTTGCCTTATCCTGCTTTATTTTCCACACAGTACTTATTACAATGTGACTGTACTTTCTAATTATTTTTGTCTTGCTGGATCTACTAACCACCCATCTGTCAGTTTTTCACACTGTAGTGGCTTGTGTGTTGCTATGATGCTGAAAGCTATGCCACCGTTATTCCAAATACCATCAGGATCACCCATGGTAAACAGGATTCAATGGAGCTTCCAGACTCAGACTAGGAATAAAGGCCTGGTGATCTACTTCCAAAAATTAACCAATGAAAACCTCGTGGATCACAATAGAATATTGTCTGAGTTGAACGGACATGGGGAATCAAGGGTGGAAAGGAGGAGTGTGCTGTCACAGTATGGGGAGAGCAATTAGAGTCACATAACAGTGTATAAACTTTTATATGGGAAAAAACTTTTAAAAAAAGAATATTGTCTGACATAGTGATGGGACATGGCACAGAAACGGGCAATGTTTCGTTCTGTTATATATAAGGCAGTCACGAGCCGGAGGTGACTCCACAGCAACCAACAACAACAGACCCACTAGAATGTAGCAGTCATGAGGAAATGTACTGTTTTCTTCATTGCTTTATCGCTACTGTAAGACCATTTTTCAAACTGTTGGGATGTACTGGTGAACTGTGAAACAAATTCTGTAAAGTGACACAAATACTAAAAAAATTTAAAACAAATAGAATAAAAAATATAAGAAGTGTATCACAAGCAGGGTATCAGTATATGAAATGTTTTTTTTTTTCAGCTATACACGTAGACATAAATATATAGATACATTATATTCATACTGGGTCAAGATGTAAAATGTATTTCTTACTGAGGGTCATGGTTAAAAATGTATGACAGGCTTAAAATGTTTTAGGGGGAGGTACCAAGTCTTAAATAATTAACTTCCATAAATGGAAAGTTACACTCTAATAATACAAACGTGGAAAAATGTCAACAAGTGTATTTCTGGGTGTGGTAGGCTAAAAAGCTGCCCTCCAAAGATGTCCGTGTCCTAATCCCCAGAACCTGTGAATATGTTACTGGACATGGAAAAAGGAACACTGCGGATGTGCCTCAAGTAAGGATCTTGAGACGGGGAGATTATCCTGGACTATCCAGCCAGGCCCGATGTAATTTCAAGGGTCCTTATAAGAGGGAAGTGGGAGGGTCCGAGAGAGATGGAGAATGTGCCAATGAAAGGAGAAGTCACAATGATGCAGGCCACAAGCCAAGGAATGCGGGCAGCCTCTAGCAGCTGGAAAAGATGAGGAAAGAAATTCTCCCCTGGAGCCTCCAGAAGGAAAGCAGCTGTGTGGACTCATTTTAGACTTCTGACTGCCAGGAACTCCAGAACTATAAGAAAATAAATTCGTGTTGTTTTAAACCACCAAGTTTGTGCTAATTTGTCACAGCAACAATAGGAAACTAGTACACTGGGGTTCAGGTTTACTGGATGGTAAATTCTGAACAGGAACCCTGGTGGTGCGGTACTTAAGCATTTAGCTGCTAACTGAGAAGGTCAGTGGTTGGAACTCACCAGCTGCTTGCTTCCGTAAAGATTTACAGCCTTGGAATTCCTGTGGGGTAGTTCTGCTCTGTCCTACAGAGTCGCTATGAGTCAGAATCAACCTGATGGCAATGGGTTCAAGTTCTAAACATGTGTGATAAGTAGCCACTTCAAAATACATTCTTTCTCTTTCTCAGGATGTGTCAGCTATGGGAGGTTAATTTCCTGCTTCTTCTAGGTTATACTGTATACCAGATGAATATTATACACTAAGTCTTAGAATGAAGGGAAACTTCTCTAAAATCTAGCTTGTAAGTTTAAGGCCAAAATTTTAGGCAAGAAACACTAGGAAACGCACATCCTATTTCTGACTTGCTGTTGCCCCCAAATCATGGCAACCTCATGTACAAGAGAATTAAACGTTGCCCAGTCCTGAGTCATGCTCACAGCTGCCCATATGACAGAGTCCATCACGGCAGCTATCGTGCCAATCCATCCCACCAAGGGTCTCTCACACCCTCGGTGGCTCTCTACTTCACCAAACATGATCTCCTCTAGCAACTGACCCCTCCTCGTGACGTGTCCAAAGCAAGCGAGTGGGACAATGTTCTCTCGTGATTCACAAGGTTTTCATTAGTTAATTTTCTAAAGTAGATTTCCAGACCTTTCTTCCTTGTCTTAGTCTGGAAGCTCTCCTGAAATCTGTCCACCAGGGCGACGCTGCTGGTATTTGAAATATCAGTGGCATAGCTTCCAGCATCACAGTTAACGCTCAAGCCACCACAGTACAGCAAAGTGACAAACGGGTGGTGGATTTCTGACCAGAAGACTCGAAAGATGGGTAACATTCTGCTTCGTAACTTTCATTACTCTCACCCTAAAACTTCCTTCTTGAGCACAGGAAAGGGAATAGGGCTGGGAGATGCAAACTTTGAAAGATACAGATGGATTACAGCAAAAAAAAAAAAAAAAGATTTTTCAAGGGACTGAACAGCTTGAAAGGCAGAAATTTCCTGTATTTTCTCTTTCAGGAAAAGGAGATTTTTCTTCTGTGGGGGACCTCCAACAAAACAGTAGGCTTTGGAAGCCTCATTCTAAATAGTTCTTCCCTAAGTAAAAATAATGCAACTACATATCGCTGCTGGAAGGCTAAAACATACTCATGTGAGTGTGTGTGTACACTTGGTTTGTTTTAGCCTTTCTCTCTCTCTCTATATATATATACGTATATTTTAACAGTTGCCAGGCTTACGCCTCAATAAACTAGGTTTTTTCTCTTTGACACAGCCGATTCACCTGGGAATTCACCCCATGAAGCACCAGCACAGAGGACATAGATGTACAAGAGTTCATCTTTGTTTCTTGATTGCAGTGCTCTCTACAGCGCTAAGGAAAAAGAGATGACGCCGACACCTATCAACAGGGCAACACGGAAACAGGACATGGTGCGTTCCCAGGGGAAATTACGCAGCTCTAAGAAAGGAATAAACCGGCACGGACCTGTAGAATTCAAAGTCTTTCCCCAAGGTATTGCTGATTGAGAAAAGATAGTCTTGTCTAATTTTTTTTTTTTAAATGAGGAAAACGAAAACCTCTCTATTTCTAAGTAGAAGTTTCCAAATGTACAAACATGGAAGGAGACAGAATAGTTAATAAAGCTAACCTTGGGGTGGGGTATAAAGCGATCGACTGCTCACCAAAAGGTCAGCAGTTCAAAACCACCAGCAGCTCCGCAGGAGAAAGATGTAGCTGTCTGCTTCCGTAGAGACTGACAGCCTTGGAAACCCTACAGGGT